CGGGAGAGGCCCCTGGACGTGCTCTGCGGACGCGCGGGCAAGCCGTGAGGAGGGGGCCTGCGTGGCTCGCGGGGCTTTGAGAGGGCCATCGACGCTCCGCCGTTAGAGGCCACGGTCAGCCCGGGGCGGAAGGGGGTTCACCCCGGACCGCCCGCGGGGCCGTGGCCTCCTCGGGCCCCAGGTCCACCGAAGCTGCTGCGGCCTTCTCAGCGCTGGCCGACCAGCTCCCGCAAGCTCGGGTGAAACGCGTGCCCGGAGCGACGAAGCCTACGCTGCTGGCCAACTCTCTGGATGCCCCTGAACGACACGTTCCAGTTGGTCCTCTTGTCATCAAAATCGGCGGAAACGTCCGGTTACAAGTCCCTGCACGTGTGAACATCAGAGGACATTTGAGTGCCAGCAAAGTGTTTCTGAAGAAACAGGTGAAAATAAGCAGCGCGCGCACACTCTGGCAGACGATTTCGCCGGAAGATTCTGAGACTAATCTATCAACTAAATGGTTGTTTATTTTTTAAGTTATTACCTAAAAGCCCGCAGAAATAGTGGGCATAAAACAAACAGATTAAAACAACTTTGTGAGGAAGGGCGGAATGGACATCATGCTGGGTTTTTTATTTTCCTGAAGTGGGGATTAAGTTGACAGGAATTAACTTAAAATCACTTTTGACTCCTTTCGCTCAACAGATATCTATGTATTATTTTCAGTACATACAAACGGGGTCCTAACGATTATCTAGCAAAGTCCTTAGGAGAATGTATGACGTTAAGGACATCCGAATTTCCAAGTCTGAGGTTGTAAATTGGGTGTCACTGTTCACCATTCAGAGGGATCTATGCTTCCTTCGCAAAGAGATTCCCTTAAAATGCCAGCTGTAATGCATTCGCTGCTATACAGATCATAGGCACTTTTCAGAGATTTGATGGATAGACACATTTTTACTTAAAGTTTATGGCTTTACTTTTTTTCTAAGTGTCTTTTAATGTGCACCGAGTTTAAAAAAATCGAAAAGTACAGAATGCTGTTATATAAAGAGTCTTACGCCATGACCCAGTTCCGTGCACTCCTCGGGATGGAGCTTTGCTGCATCTCTTCAGAATGGAAATTTCTGTGATCCTTCTACCCAACCTCCAAACTGGCAATACTATACGGTCATACCGTCCGGGGGGTTTCCTTGCTGACATGCTCTCTTCCTGTTTTAAAGAGGCTGGCAAACTTTTGCATCGTTTTAAGATGAGGCTACATGTAAAAATGCACCTGAGATTTAAATGCTGCCCAGAGAATCTCAAGGGAAGTGCTGTTGCCAGTGGAGCCGGCGTGGCTCGCCTGACTTCCTGGGCCCGCATCCGTGCTGTCAGAGCTTGGCCACTCACCCGCCGTCCGGATGGCAACACAGAGAGGCAGGAGGTAAGACGTACACCTCAGCACGTGTGCCCCAGGTGTGCACCTCCTTCTTTAGCGGATGCCCATCCTTGACCTTAGGTCAGTCCCTGCACTGTCACCCGGTGCGGCCGGTGCATGGGAGGAGGCTCACTGCTCCGCCCCACCCTGGGAGGCCTGGAGAGCTCTCCGGCAGGTGTAGCAAGAAGGCGGCCCTCCCCTCCCTCCCCACACACCTTGACAAGGGTCACTCTGGTTCCAGCCCCGGGTGGCGATCCTCCTCTGTGGGGCTCAAGGTGATCTCGTCTGTTCTGCCCAGAAGCCACTGCTGATGCTGGTTTTCCTGGCAAGCGTGATGTCTTTCGGCCGACTGGTGCTGGCGTCCCACTGGCCGCTACACAAGGCCGAAAGCCGTGCGGTGTTCACGGTTGCCCGTGACCCTCCTTCCCGAGGCCATTCTCTGCCTGGCCCAGGCCTGGCACGGAGGCTCCCTCGGGAGGTTTCATGTGCCAAACTCCGAAGCAAAGTTTCTGTCTGTTTGACAAAGCAAAAACAGCTTGCAGGTTTGGAGAGTCAGATTTTTAGAAATGCTACGGATCATCTCATTTTGGTCTAAGAAGGGACGAATATAACCCTGCGTCTTGTTACAGGAATCGACTTTGTTCCAAAGCCCAGACTTTTTATGAGTCCACTAACTTCTTTTTATTTTCAATAAGTTGCAAATTCGGTAAACTAAAGGCATAACTCCTACGTGAGCAGGTTGCTCCAAAAAAATACATGCTTTTTACTTGAGGGTGGAAAGAAATAGAATCAATTAGAATTAAGGATGCTCTCAAACCTGTCTTGGATTCTGTCTTCAAAAGCAAAAAAAAGTAGGGTCTTTCAGAGTGTGTTCCCACACCATCTGAAATATCACAAGGGAGTGAAAATCCTCTCTTAAAAGAAGGCTCTCGTTTTGCTTTTGCAGTCACTTCAAGTCTTGATTTTCACGTTCAGTGTATCAGGCAGGTTCCCCAAAGAAACAGGGGCAATGAGATGTGCAGGGGTGCATGTGTTTGGGTGTATGTGTGTGTGTACCTCTCTCTCTTTCTTCCTCTCTCCCTTTCTGTCTCTCTCTGAAAGAGAAAGAGAGGGGGAGAGAGGCAGAGAGAGAATAAGAGAAAGACTCGCTTTGAGGAATTGGTTCATGCTATGGTGGAAACTTGGCACATTTCAATGACTGGAATTCTACTGGTAGAAATCCTCCTTGTTGGAGTCAGGGAGGTGAGAACAGTCTTTGTTCTGTTGAGCTCTTCAATCCATTGGAAGAGGCCCACCCATATTATGGAAGGAATCTGCTTGACTCAAAGTCTACTGATTGAAATATTAATCTCTTCTAAAATATACCTTTAGAGAAACTAGAATAATTTCAACTGAATATCTAGGCACCGTGGCTCAGCTAAGCTGACACAGAAAATTAACCAGCGCGCTCTGTAATTCTGAAAACTTTCAAAGACCTATATGATACAGTTGCAGGTTGCTTTGTTTTGTGATTAGTCATTGAGAACAAAGCATTACACAAATATTTGAACATAGAAAAGCCTAGAGGAAACGGTTCAGCAGACTCCACGGTGACAGTTGCACACAAGGCAGGAGCAGTAGGGCCCTGATGGAGACCACGGTCCGTGTGCTGCTGTCTCACACAAGAGTTAAAGGCTGTCTCGAGGGTCGTGCTGACTGGAACGACGGACGGCATTTGTGGAAAATGAAAGCCACCTGACGGTGAGAGGACACATTCTAGGGAAAATCCGGGATTAAGGAGAGCAAGATCACAGCCTGAACCTGCTTCGAAGGAGTCATTTGAGACACTGCCTGAGAGCAGGTCCAATGCCTCAGCCTCACCCGGCCCTCAGCTCTGTTTGCACCTCTTTCCTGTTTGCTGTCCCTTTTTTGATCCAGGACACTGCTTCTCTAAACACACACACTGATGCACGTACACCACGCTTCTAAACGTATGTCCTTTTGCTCAACATATCTAGACTTTTCAGCATGTTTATATTTCTAAACATCTATCTTTTTCCTGTCAATGCTTACTCTCACCCCTGGCCATCACTCCCCAAAGACGGCAACTATCACACTGACTCAGATGTGCAACTAATATCCTTTCCTTGCTTTCTCTAGGATGATTATTTGATTTTCTTGCCTCTCCATTCAGCTGGGTTGGCAGTGAACCCAGTTTTTGTCCTGGCTTTCCCAGGCTTCAAAGTTGATTCACATCTTGAGTTTCTCATTGGGTCGTTGCTCCACCTATTTGCTGGTAGTGATAGTTTCGTCATCCTGGCGACCATGAAACACCGGTTTCTAGTGGCTCCCGGTGCCTGCGTGGGGTCCAGTGTTCTTAGATGCAGGACTGAGTATGCAAGGCTGACTTCTCGGGTTGCTGAAGAATGAACACATTCGAATCCACAGCGCTAGTAAGTGAAGGAGGTCAGAGACGTCTTGCCAAAAAGAAAGAAGGATGAAATAAATTGTGGGCTGGTGGGCAGGAAGATGGTATCAGAAAAATGAATGTGAAGGGATGGAAAAACAAAAGCCACACTAGAAAAAAGTAAGGAAAAAGGCGATCTGGAGGAATCCGAAATTCCTCCCCAAAAACCTGTGTCAGAGGGGAACGAGAGGATACGGAGCCGGGCCATAGCCCATGGCGGGAGTGAGGGAGGTGGAGTGAGGAGGGGATGATGGTGTTCAGGGGGGCCATCGCTGAAGCCATGAAAAGTAATCCGAGGACCAGACGCCTCACCCATGGCAGACAGAGGTGGTCCCAGAAGCTCAGACCCAGAATTTCACATCTCTTCCGGTAAGCCACCTCTACCTGGAAGGCTTTGGCTGGTTTGTTTTCAGATGGAGAAGCATGGAAGTAGGGACATGGGAGAGAAAAGCAGAGATCTCAAAAATGTAATCCGCAGCAAACTGAAAATAAGATTTTTTTTTCACACTTGGGATATGTCAGCTTGCCATTTCCCGCTCCTAGGAAGCTGGAATAGATTCATTCTCTTTGGTATCCTACAGGGCACTTTCTCATTATTATTTTTTTCTTCGCCTCTTCCTCCAATCTCGGGAAATTACTTTTTAGTCTGGGAAAAGTACCTCTTTTTAATGTTTGTGACCAAGAGCCATGTTTCTTTGAATTGATAAGCTTATTTAGAGTTGTCTACCTGCTTTTTCTGAGATGAAGAAACCTGACAATTTACTATTATAATATTAGCTAAGTCATACAAACAGTGTATCAACTCAGAGTGATTTGAGATTAGAAGACTTGGGACTTTAGAAGAAAAAAATAGGCTATTAAAAATAAAATATGAAGACAATGAGAATATTATGGAAAAAGTGATGAATTATGGAAAAAATGATATACATTTTAGTGACAATATAATAAAGAAAGAACTCTGATGAAAAGTTTACATTTTCAGATAAATACATAAAAGAAGAATTAGCCAAGGAAGTGAAAAAGCATCCACCTTAGAGCTGTCGCCATCCTAAACTTTAAGTAAAAGGTGACAAATTAGGTCTATTTTGCTCATGCTCAAGGTAAAGAATGAAAATGGGGAAGTGGAGTTGACTTCCCGTGTTATGAATAGACCGAGGAATGTGAAATAAAGCAGAAACGAATCTCCAGTGTCCTTCAGCTATTTGGGCAGGCGTGGCCTTCGTATTAACAGGTCTAAATCCCGTTTTCTTGTCCATAAAATCGTCCCCCTTCATAGAATGACAGTGAGGATGTCATGACCATCACCTGGTGAAAACAGCCTCGTCCACGGACGGTGGCCAGGAGAGATCAGCTACCTTCTTGCCGTGTATCATGTGTACAAGAGCACAAGGATGTATGTCCACACACTTTTCTGGCACCAATATCTCAGGAGATTGGACAGTCACTTTAATCCTGTCTCCAGTTCCTCTCCGAGTGACCCCCAGAAGCTCAGCTGCAAAGTCAGTACTTCTCTTGCTCATAACAATAAGGGGATTTTGTGGAACAAACGGTTTCTGTGACTGCAAACCCTGAGAACGTCTTAACTTCAGCATCACTCCTTTGTCATGAGTGTTTTTCGTCTCTTAGTCACCATTAAACTCTAATGTCTTTGTGGACCATGTTCTCTTACTCATCTTTGAATATCATACTACGTCTAACACTGTGGCTAATAATTATTAAAATTTAAGTGAATTGATGTAATAAATAGTACTTTATGCATGTTGGTATAATATATTAATGGATCTTTTCTCTCATCATATTCAGCTCATATTCTGCTCTGCTTTGAGAAGAGAGGAAAGAGATGAAACCAAATGGCAAATTTCTCTAAAAACCCAGAATGAGATGCTAAAATAAACCTAAAATTATGATTGTAGTAGCTAATCTCCTTTGTCTCTAGCTACACACCGTCATGGTGCTACCTGCTTTATCTGTGTCACCTAACTTAATCCTCACAAGTCGATGAAGTGGCCCTGTTTTTACCTGCATGGTAGAGAGGGGAAAACTAGGAATAATCAACCTCCATTCACCGCAGCTCATGTTCAATATACACCAGCGCCTGAGAAGCTTTTATATTGATATGTTTTATTACTAAATGTGTGTAACTATCTTTGCCTTCCACTCCATACGTTAAAAAACTAAAGCCAGAAAACCAAGTAATGTATGCAGCAGGGTAGAATAAGTTCGTATGTTGGTTTTTTTTTTTCAATTTATTTTCATAGTCCCAAGATAATACCTGCGTTTTTTGAATGACTGTATATTGATTATGAACATAGTTTTTTTATCCATAAATAAATTATCATAATCAATGTATGTATGGAAAATCACAAATCTTATATTTGCAATGTAAAATGATCAGGAAAAGTGAAAACTAGCTGAAAAGTTGTGAAAACTGGTGTACAGGGCTTTTTACATTTTGCAAGGATGTCTTATTTCTAAGTATGTTTATTCATAGGTTAAACAATACTTCTGAGTTTCTAAATTAATGGAAGTCTTCTTTGAAGTAATTAAGAATTGATAATAC